ACATTTTTATACTATGGATCTGATAATTTTTCGGAAAACGGCGAGGAGTGAACTCTAAAATTTAGTTATCATCTAGAATTTATAGGGTTTTCCTTAGAGCATAGTTTTGAGTATTCGTCCCATGGTCTCATGAGACGCACTGGAAAATCTGACTGCCGGTGCGTCTCTTTGCGGCTATTTCATCCTCATGAAATATTCAGGGATTTGCGTTTGCGATAAAACATGTAAAACGATTGCTCGTTAAAAATACGTTTTTTATCATAAAAATGCGTATAAAAATATTATTTGTACTTTTTATATTTTTTATACATTGTATACAGCATTTTGCATTGTTAATGTCCGTATGAATTTCATATATTTTCTATGAATACATAAACAGATAAATGTAAATGGCTTTAAACAAAATGAATAAAATACCTAATAAACATCCGAACAATTTTCGATTGGTAACGGATCATAATATTTATTCAATATGTACATTATGCAATATGTTGAACTTCAAAAAAACTGATTAAGAAAAGCCAGAAAAAATAAAAACAAAGTGGATTTGGATGATATTCCAAAGTCTTATCTATAGAGAAAAAATTGGTTGTTATTATGTAGAAAAATAATATTACCTATGCAGATATAAAATTTGGTATTATAAATCTGTACCGTAAATTCAAAAACTGATATGTTGAAATTCGACATATTGCATAGTATTCAAAAGGATTTGAATATGCATATTATTTCAAAACTTTGTATGTTGTTTGCTTTGTATATGAATTTATAGAGGAAATAAGTAAACATATATATTCTGAAGTATTTAAAAATAACATTCATAAATAACTCGTTATCCTATCTATTTCTCCAATGTTTATACTAAAAATAATTAAAGCATATAATACAATTTCTAAAACTCCTAATGAATTTTTTTTTTAACTAAGTGAATTTAATTTTATTTATTAAGTTTTTAGCAAAGATTTTTTCGTGTGTCAATAATGATACATACACAATATCTATTTTTTATCAAAATTGAATTTATAAATTATTTAATATATTCTATGAAACAAAAGTTGGCTTTCTTAATCCAGAAAACCAATCTGCACTGAAGATCGAAATATGACTTGAACTTCGTAAAATATTTAGTGTTGGTGGAATCAATAAAAACTTTGAGGTTTTGCTTCAAACCAAAAAGAAAGTTCATCTAAAAATCATGTCTTAACTTCAAATATTGTACCTATTTTAGGGTAATAATTTAAAAATAAAAGAAAAAATCCGCGCAATAAATTAAATATTTATTTGCAATGAAATATACCGATCATTTATTAAAATACAAAATATATGCATAAATTTTAGTACAGTAAAATATTAATGAAAAACTAAGTAATTTAATAAACATCACTAAATGATTCTTCTTGATCACGATATGGCAATATATTGATTGAACGATTGATCCATTCTCCCGAATTCGTTGAAGATTCTGATTACATATACACTCACATTACACGCATACATCCATTTAATCTAAAGGATCTAAAGTATACGAAACACCAAATATTGGCATAACAACATCAAGTTTGTGAACCCAACTTATCACTTCGATCAATCGAATCAATCGAGAATCAATCGAAGAACATATGACATCGGTTAAAGGCCTTTATAGCAATTATTATAAGCAAAATAAGAAAGTAAAAAGACAATATTTAAACATTGATAACGAACAAACCGAATATAACAACCTTCCAAAAATATCTGTTATTAGCACTTTTCACTATATCACAATACCCGTGCTGAATACTGATGAATCAAACTCATTTAATAACACTAAGCATAAAATTGAAAAACGACTTGTCAGGAAGTGCAGCTTTCGTGACCAAAACCTATATTAAATTTTGGCAAACGGCCACCGTTCATAATCGAGTTTCAAACGAAGCTTGGTCGTCTTTCTGACGCCCAGTAACAAAAAATGTGAACTCCATATCCGACTGATGAAACTTTAAAGGTGAATTACAAAGTACAAATTGGCCAGTTAGACCCCGGGAGTCTTCACATTTCACAATAGTCATATTAAAGAAGATATACATACACAAAACCTCAAGTCGGAATAAGGTCAGTCCCATATCTCGTCCAAGAATTGGTTTTACGCTCTAATATTGTCCACGTTTTCCATATAATTTCTAATTTGCTTGGAATCGAATATACTTTTGTACACATATACAAGGTCTTTATAGTTTTATGTTTGAAGGAGCACGTTTGATACACAGACACACACACACACACACACACACACACACACACACACATATATATATATATATATATATATATATATATATATATATGTTGTGTTGCGCTTCGAACAAGAAATCTAGTAAATAATGACAAACCATTTTTTTAAATATTATTTATTGTCAACTTTTAGTAACTACGTACGTTCAATCTGTAGGACATTTGTGATGAACATCTTGATTAGAAAACAATATGATAAAAGTATATTAATGAATCAATACATTTAATAAATATATAAAAGGATTTTAATATAAATAACAAAAATTATAAATGGAAGAATTAAAATGTGTGTTATATAATAAAAGTTACACATGAATGAATTATGAGGATTCTAAGGAGTCTATTCATAAAATAAGAAAGAAAATGAATGACAGAATTTACAAAAAATAAGTAGAGTTTTTACATAAAAATGTTAAAAAGAGTGAGAATGGGAAAAACACAAATATTTACCTGTATGATTAAATATGCACTAATACTTTATATATCAAGATTTTTCTTCGAAAAATAATTTTCTAGAAATAATTTTGCAACTGCAGTTTATTAGAAATTTTCAATATGATGTTAGAGATTTGAAGTTGTGAAGCAAACTAATGTGTATAATTAAACGCAAAAACTACTTGAGTTGAATGTATATGCATGAGTCTTATTAAATACTATAGGGTGTAAATACTTAAATATTAACCTTGCATTAGTCGTCGATAAAAAAGTTAAAATTAGGAGTTTAAAAATACGGACAAAATATATATAGTATATATGAAGAAAATAACAAAGTGTATTAAAAAATTGACTAGTTTTATATAATAACGTTTCCACGACTGTATACCATGAAAAAATTCATAATCACAATCCTGTCAGATGTTGACCGTCATGGTCACAGTATTGTCGGAGTAATCTAGTATTAGTTCATACTAGTTCATACTAGTATCGCACCTTCAAAATATTGAAGACTTAGACCAGACTTATTTATCGATGTTTGTAATAATTTTTTATTAAAATCATTGAACCTATAGTAATTTCGATCATTCTTATTGCAATAATTAAGTGTTCGCTGGAATTTAACTTAATGGACAAATAACAATTACTTCTACTCAAAGTACGCAAAAAATAATTTTTAAAAACAGACCAAAGAATCCTTTCTAAATCGTAATTTCTAAAAACATCTTTTAGAAACCATCTTTAAAAAGAGGCATTTGTTGCAAAACCCTCTTTTTCCGTTCTGAGCCCGGCGAAGATTGGTTACGATGTATGACTTCTTCCCTTTAAGCTCATGCTTTAGAGATGATGCTCCAACAAGCACCAAAGCTTTTATTTTTGAACTGCCTTCTTAAAAAATAGTATCTCAGTATGTCATTTTTCTCGTACTATATAGACAGTATAATTTTTGTAATTAGTTTTCCTCAATAAATATGATATTATAGTTTCTACGTAATTAAAAGACTACTTTTAGTAGTTAATGAACCAAAGATAAGAAAAAACGATTGAGGCTGGTTATAATATCGTCAAAAAACAAAACCCTATGTCATTAGTAAACAATGAAAGTAAACATATGAATTTATTGTAGTTATAAGTTGTATTTGTATAAAAAACATTTTTTAACTTCCCGTAGGGTAAGTTATAGTAATCGCAAAAAAATCGAAAATGAAAATTTTTGCATTTCTCGACGTTTCAAAGGTTTCTGAATATTTTGGCATACCTTAGAAAAAATGGATGTATGTGTGTGTGTGTGTGTGTGTGTGTGTGCGTGTGTGTATGTATGTGCGGATACAAATTTTCGTCGACGATTTCGGGAACACCGATCAACCGATTTGATTAATTCAAAAAACATTCGATTCGTATTGATAAGGAGACGTGCTGATTAGTTTTTGGCGAAGTCAGGTCTAGCCGTTCCGAAGATACGGGGCAAAAAGTGCCGAAAACGGTAACTCAGTTTTTAAGAGAACGGAGCGTCCGATTTTAATAATTCAAAAAACGTTTTACTTGTATTGACAAGGTGAAATTCCGATCAAATTTTCATAAAGGCAGGTCTAGCGGTTTCGGAGATCTAATGAAAAAAGTAAAAAAAAATGCCATTTGGCGGTCAAAAATGATCATTAGACATATGCACATCAAATTATCAGATATTTTATAGAGATTTTAACAATAAGTATAATTCCTATGGGTTCCGTACCAATGTTTACGCGTTAGACGTCGACGCGGAGCTTACGCGGTTTGATATTTCGTCTTTATGTAGTTAAAGCAGTACGATTGCTTTGAAAAAAAGTTTAGATCTTTCTAAATATGTCAAAATAAAGAAAACATTTTTTTTTTCAAAAAAAAAAAATTAAAAAAAAAAATTAAAAAAATTTTTTTTTTCAAAAAAAAGTAATTTTTTGTCTAATTGTTTGTCAAAAATCTTATTTTTTTGAAGTAAATTTTTTTCAAAAATGCTAATCGTTTTTAAAAAAATAATTTTTGGTACGGGAAGTTCCAGCAATTTGCCTTAAGGCACGATGCCTTAATTGCCTTAAGACAGAATTCCACTTACAGCTAGTTGCATAATATTTTCCAATACTGATGCCACAAGAGGTTTATAGTTCCCTAGAAGCAACCACAATTCCGCATTTAAACTTTTATATTGGCGGCTCAACATGCATTGTGGGCGCCGATATTATTTTACAAGACAATCTAAGCCACAATTTATAAAAAAATTTAACAAATATATACATTCATTAAATAAATATATTACTTACAAACATGTTTTCTAGTGACCTCTTGGCCAACCAGCAATTCAAAAATACTGGGATGAATAAATTCCTCAATGGCGGCCACAGTAACTAAATACAAAAATTATACTATAACTCAAATTATAAATTCTAAAGCAAAATTTACAATTATAAAATTTTTAGAACAATGAAATCGAATATAATGGTGTGTTCACACTGTGTGCAAAATTACAAAATTAAATAAATGGGTTTATAATGTAATGCTCGAAATGAAATAGCACAAAGTTATAATATATTTTTATACATAACAAATAACATTTTAGCAATATTTTTTTAAATTGTTGTATCAAGTATTTCTGCAAACTAGTAGTGATAAAATATTAGATTAAGCTTTTTAGTTAAAAAATCGGATTAGATTTTCAAGTCTCACGTGTATAGAGATTTTTCATGGCAGTTAATATATGCAAAAAAAATTAAATTATTTTTGTTTTATATAATTTATCAGTAATATTATATTTAATATTTTAGAAAAGTATTTTGAAAAATCTATTACACAAGACTGTTATTTGTTAATAATAATTTTCTATATTTGACTACTCTTCACTAACTAATATCTAAGGTTTAATATTCTATATTATATGTATTATCATATTATTTATAACACATCATATTAATAAAAAAAATAAACATAAACAAAAATGCTAAAAATTGTTTGAATTAATTCCTATATATGCTTTTATATAAGCTGTTAGTTTCACTTACCGTAAATGCGAAAGGTACTGTAGTAATAATTTCTAAGATGAAATGAAATGACATAACCTGCTGCCAAATGTTGCCCTGCAAACAATAAGAAGAATATTTTATTAAAATAATAAATATCACAAGAATTGTTTATGAAATACTAGAATGAATAAAGTTCTATATAAAAGTTTATAATACATGTAGAAAGAAATATTCAAACCGTGACCCAAAAATGGCAAAAGCATTGAGCTTGATTCACTTTCGTCTAGAAGGTTTTGTTAGAACATTGTGGGAAAATTAGATTGTTTGAAAAGAAAAATGCAAGTACACACATTATATATATATATATATATATATATATATATATATATCTAATAAAGTTGTTCTTGGGCGTCCATCCATTAATTGAAACTATTTTATTGAAGTAAAATGTTTTATTGCTACATTAAAGGATTACAGAGTTAAAAGTTGAAAATACAATAAAAATACAAAGATATAAATAAAAAAATGTGAATTAACTTAATAAATCTAAACAATATGGTATTTTTTTATTATAAGACTAAAATATGTTGTTGTATATAAAGGTAAGACACAACTAAAATAATTGAAAAATATGCAATAACTCACCATACAAATAATTTGAAGAAAAAACAAACAAACACGGAAAATATAATGCACCAAATACTATACAATTTTCAAAGCACGAATTTTAAAAACTATTAAATTAAAATAAATATTAAATTAAAATAAAATAAATGAAAAGGTTTTGAAAAAAAACTCTTCTCATCGAGACATGTTATGTTTGGAAAAAAATTTACTAGTGTAATGTGTTTCTATGTAAAGATAAGGAAACTCGAAGAGCTGTTTCGTTATTGGTTGAAAGACTGAGATAGAGAAGGTTTAGTGGCGCTTTGGCCGGCGGAAAAATTATGAGTAAGTATATGGGAAATATAGCTTTTGGATGTAAGCTGTAATCAATAGGCAAACATTTTTTGTATGAAAATTAATATAGAAGACCTTATAAAATATGAAGGAATATGCGAAGAAGAGAATAGTGTATATATATATATATATATTATATATATATATATAGATATATATATATATATATATATATATATATATATATGTGTGTGTGTGTGTGTACAAGCATATTATTTAAACTATTAATATATGATAATTTTCACGATTTTTGTTAGTCCAAAGCATAGTCATTAAGTTACATGTCATTCTTTTGCAGATCGTTTAAGAGCTTTATAATTGAAAGACGACATTTAAATTTGTACTCAGAACTAATTAAAAATAATATTCCAATAACTAATTTAAAAATAACCATTGCTACATAACCTTGATTATGCTGAACAGTCGGCATAAGGAGCAGCGCAAATTTTATCGAAGTTTATATTATATTTATAGCACCATAGTTATTTAGCTAGCGATTTATCCGTTAAATCTTTTATACAAACATCAAATGTTTCATTGTTGGCAAAGGTCTCCCAAGTAATATTTTCTACATTAATGTACAGTTTTATGCGTTTCAATGCTAGAAAAGGTCTTGTAAGTAATATATTTTGTAATAATTCAACAACATTTATTGGCGCAAAAACCGCTATAAACGAGACATATAAATTTCTATCGCAAAACAACAAGAAAATAAGAGTCAGGAAATCACTATATAAGCTGGCATTTTATACCATCAATTTCTCCTCAGCGGGCTGTAAGGATCTGGGGCGTAAAGTTCACAGCACGTTGGATTTTGATAGATATAAATATGAATTATAAGTCAATGTATACATTATTATCACACATTGAAGCAACATCAAATTTTTCGTTTTTTGCCTCTTTGTGAAGTGATTCATTGAGTGTCAGTAAAACAACACCTTCACATCCCTCCGACAAACATCTACCGTCCTCATTCTAAAAAACAGAACTGCATATGTTCAACACCTAGAAAATCTGTGGATGCACTTTTGGAGAAGATGGCTCAAAGAGTATCTGGGAGATTTACGATCGGTCTGAAATGGGAACGACCAATTCATCTCAGGGATAAAAACTAGTCTTATGTAAGAAAATAATCTACCACTTTTGAAATTGTTTCCTATTTGAATTATAGAATTATATCCTGCAAATGACTGTGCCATCACAGACTCTAATGGGTCACCAAAAGGAGCACTAAATAAGTGTGCATATTACCTTTAAAAAATACTTAAGGGGCACAACTAGTGTGAAACTTTCAAAAAATCGAATTAACATAATATAAAATAACATACCAAAATTTTAAATCGATATCTTAAATAGTTTTTGAGTTACAGCCATTTAAAGAGTATATATATATATATATATATATAGTATATAGTATAACGATCATTTTATCTTTAAACGCGTTTTTCTCGCAACAGCATTTTCTGAATTTGCTGCAGTGATTACTCAAAAACAAATGATCCGATCACTATCGATTTTTTTTTACATGTTCTATATATAGTTCTCCGTAAAATGAACTATCGATTTTTTGATCAGATCAAAAATCGAATTTTGGCAGTCCAAAAACGACCAAAATTTTGGGTAAAATTCGACTTTTTTTTAAAAACCGCCGTCATTCTGTCAATTTTTATTATAAAGAATGTGTTAATTTTTTTTGCAAACATCATATACTTGGCAACTTTTTATTTAAAAGTTGCAAAAATTCAAGTCATCCAAAATGCTCGGCATGATTCTCTCGATCTACAAGAATTTTCTTTATGGTGAATTGAAGGCACATGCGTTAGATCTTTTAGGTTGTTCCTGGAAAGAGGCAATATCAAATATAGATAATAGAGGTAGACAAATTTTCCATGTTCACTAATATAGAAACCATTTCGCTACAAGAGTGATTTCCTCAGGAGGGTCTCTGCTGTATGGAACAGCGTGTCCCTTTCCTAGGTGCAACTAAACTGACCAGATACAACGATATATTTTAAGATATTTTATCATTATTAATAAAAATGTATTGAACAATTAAAAAATACGCTTTTAATGAACTTAAAATCACAATAAAAGTCTACAATTCTCAATAGCTTAACTCGTAGTGATATTTCTTGCAGAAAAGGCAAACACAGCATGTCATTATCAGTAGGAAATTAGCTATGCTTCACTTTGCAATCATTAAGTCAAAAAATTTTATTCAAAGTACTACAAATTTTATTTCACAAATGAAATGACAAAACAATTCTGGAGGTATGATGACACAAAATATTAAAAGCAAAATTAAACTGAGCGTAAAACAAAATATTACCAAAACTAGTTCAAGAAGAAAAATTATATGATTTTTTTTATTTACTCTAACATTGTTCTTATGAATTTGATTTCTTTACTCTGCTGATAATTAAAGTGTAATTCAATGTAAGAAAAGCCACCCACAGCGAATGAGAATGCTTTGGTCTACTACTTTTAGCTTCGGTAAAGTTTATCAATACTATTTTTAGATACAATACTGAAGTTTAATTACGCGCAACTTCAGAATTTCGTATCAACATATTTAGTTTAAAAGCCAAGAATCTTAGTTTTAGTAGTAATAAAAAATATTTCCAGTTAAATATAAAATATAAAACAAATACAATTAAAAATAATATAATAATAATAATAATAAATATAATAAAATAATAACAAATAATATAATAAAAATAACTAATCAATTTGTTCATCATCAATGTTTGACCTTTGATTTGGATTAGATAAAAGTACAAAAATAGAGAACAAAAGCAAATGCTTATACGGTCCGAATAAAAACAATGCTGATATTGAAATGCATTATATGATTATTAAAAAGAAGTAATTATTTCAATGGTCGCACGAAGTCTTTACAATGTTTTTAAAATTTAAAACTAATAAAGGATTTGCTAGCAGTTAAAGGCAAAGTGAATTATTAATATTTTTAATTTTCTCAACTGAAAACATCAAATCCAGTCTTTGCCTACAGATGTCATGGTGGGGTCAAACGGTAAACTCTCCTCGCGCAATGCAGCTTCATTTAATAACTATATATTAGAATAAACTTGTTCATGTGTTGGGCTCAGCCCACTCTAATATCTGTGTATATTGCTGTAATCTCCTGTGGATTTGCTTCGTTTCCTGCATCATTCCCTCATATTACATTCGAATTTTCATATATAAAGAAATTTTCATATATAAACAAATTTTCATATGTGTATAAACTTTGCGGCAGTTGAAACAAACGCAAAGATTTTGTAATTTTAGGATAAACAGTTTGATCAGATTATTTGATGATAAATGTGATCATGATAAAAATCTTCATATTGAAAAGAAAAGTAAGAATATAATAACCTAAAAACGCTTTTGGACAACACAGATCAAAGAGTATCTAAATTCAATTACAATTGCGCTATAAATAGAAACATACAATTCGAATTTGTATAACATTTAGAATGACATAGTAGTTGAATTACATTAACACACCCTGAAAATGATGGTGCAATACATGTCATTACGCATATCACGTTTAAATAAATACATAATGAAATACTAAATTAATTTATTATAATTATCTATAATTTAAGACTTAATTTTACTTCATATGACAGAAATTCAATTTCATTTATTTATCAAAGTTGAAAAAGCTTACTATTGAATTAACCTTTTAGAATGTTAAATGTTCATGTAACCTCAAAATAACTGCAAGTCTTTTTTATTGTGTAAAGACAGATTATAATTAATAAATAAGGGAATACTAAAATATTAAGTGTACATAAACAATATGATAAAATATAAGTAGAATTGCATTTTGACTTAAGGCAAGTTGTATGTACTTCCAAAACGTATACATAATCATCTTAATCAATTTTCGCTTGAACTAAAAACTAATCAATACCATTTCCAATACATATCTTTGAAATATACTTATAATATCTGTAATGGTATAAATAAATTTTAATTTGTTTAACACTTTTCATTTCATCCATTTTGGGTTCTATTTCTGTAAGTGTGGACGTCAACTGTAATCAACCTACGATATACCAAAACGTGTATAAACGATAAAAAAAAAAAAATTCTATATGACAAATAAATAATAAAAGCGTATAACGTAATCAAAAAGAGGAGCAGCAAATTACGTATATTTCGAGTTTAGTGAAAGAAGTGAATAAAACGAGCTTGATCATTTCATGACAAACATTGGCACAGAAGAGAGAATTTGCTCGAAATACTGCTTATACATTATGCTTCTTAGTTATTTGAAACGTATCTCATTTGAATCAAAGCATGACTGCTTCAACTATGGTAATTTTCATTCGACGTTGCAAATAATATTTCCAGAGTCTTCCATCTAGTCAAAATATACTAGCAGATTCAACCACCACTTACATTTTCACACAGTTCAAGAATGGAGAAGTCCTGTTTTTTATTTTTTTCTACTATTTTATTTATTAATAATGGCAAAATTTGATTCAGATAAAAAAAAATTATATATACTACAAATTTATATATCGGTTCAGCAGTTTTTGAGAAAAAGTCGATGAAAGTCAAATTCTCTCATGTCAAAAAAGCTCTAATAAATTTTTTAAACTTTGATGAATTTTTAAAAGTAAACGACTTGTAAGGCCATGATATTTTAGTATTATCATTCATAAAAACAGCGCATAAATATAGAAACAAGCTCAACAGCGATCTAAATTCACTAGCAAACCACTTTTTAATAGAAAACTATAGTCAATCATAAATTTTGATTAAAGACTGAAATGACTTAGTTATTATTCATAAGAAAATATTTATTAGTTATTATTTATAAGAAAATAGTTAATTTTTATATTATAAATAAAATATTAATATTATTTATAACGAATGGAAAAACGACCATTGAGTTGTTTTTCCAACATGTAATTATACAACTATTGTGTCTTGCAATTGTAAATGAAAATTATGAAAATGTCTATTTGCCGTGCGATCAGCCGTATTTTACATATAAATAAGCAAGAAATAATGTTATGATAACAGAATTTTAGATGGTGGAGATATCATAAGATTATTCCTTGATTGTTTATATGTAAAATACGTCTTATCGCACGGCAAATAGATAGAAATTTTCATAATTTTCAATACCAAGAACAAGCATAAGAGAACGTTGTCGTGACAACGCTGTTTTATGAGCTCTGTAACGACAGAATTGCCCCAATAACATCATAAGTAATAAAAGAGTATAACATGTAATCGAATAATAAATTTCTTATTAAAAGTCAGCAATTCCGATTAAAAAAATTGGTTCATTAAAAAACATTTTCGATCTTAAACAGTATTTATTTTTAATAACAAGTAATTAAAAATAAACTTCCTTCTCCCCGTACCGGTTTAGCATAATTAAAAATTACCGTCCCGTTTTTGAGTTTAAAATGTATGGTCACCTTATCTTTAGAAAAGTTGAATTTATGCACATCTAATAATATTCACACAGCGATTGAAAATAGTTTAAACACGTGTACTTCAAAATTTCAATAACAACTCTTAATTGAATTCAACCCAATAAACGTTACATAATTTGCCAATGGAAACCTGCAAAATTATATAACTAAAATTCCTTCAGTAAATGCTATTCTACAATGTAAATAGCTCGAAATAATTCAAAGTGTAAATTGCATTAAACAAATCGTAAATAAATCTCGTGTGTACTTAGCTTCCCACCTTATATCCGAGATAAGCCATCAGTAGCGCTTCCATGAGCGTTATCAATGACAGCAGCACCTGCACGGCCCACAGCTCCAGCGAACGATTGACCCACAATATGGCATCCCAGTTTATTATCGGCCTCTCCTGTAATATAAGAATTCATTAATGAGCAGTCATAATATCTGAGCTTATTACTTTTAAAATTTATTTACATAAGTGGAACAACAAGCTGATTAAAAATGCTAAATTATTCACGAATTAATTAAAACTTTTTTCGGCCCACTGTATTTCGTGTAGCCTGCGCGAGCTTAGATTCGCAGAAATATAACGTGACAACTGGGATTTGAGCTTTGTACGCCATTCAAGATGTAGATCGTTTACATGCTGATATAGTGCTATAAATGTTATTCACTTGTAAACGCGAATAGAAACTGACCCAAAAAGTTTTATGTAAATGTAAATATGTTGTAAGAAATTCAACGGCACGAATTATAATAAATTATTATAAATATAGCAATTAATTTTTACAGGGCAAACAATCGCAATAAAAATAATTCGAAATCTTTATTTTCCAAAACTTTTGGATTATTCTTCTGACTTCTCGTAGGGTGATACTAATCGTCCAAAAATCAAAAATTAAAATTTTAGCATTGCCTTAAGAAAAATTGATGTACAGGTAATCCCCGCATAACACGCTAGCTACGTTCCAAAAAAGTAGCAAAAATGTTATGCAAATCCGTGTTATTTGTAAAATAATTCAGACAAAGATGCTACAAACTATGATTTTATAATAAATATTTTTACATTTATTAATTTTTTTGAGGAGTAATATACATTACATGAAATATATCATTGTATTTTGTCATTGAGAAAGAATAGGTTGAAAATTAACAAATTAATATGTAAGTGCTATCCAATACGATCCCTTTTTCTGCAAGATCCGTGCATTATTTTTTGCAAAAACAATATATTTGCGATTACTTGCTTAGATATTTATATAGATAGATAGTTATATGTTATATTTATATACTTACCACATGCAAAGTTATCTTTATTAAAATTTTATGCTCGTTTTATTTAAAGGGTCTCTGTTTAAGACTAATTGACTAATTATTCGGATAAGCCTAGAATTTTTTTTCTATAGTACGAACGCGCTCGAATAATAAGTATCAAATTGGATATTTTTGCTTTAATTTCATCACATTTATTGAGCTATTGTACTGCGATTTTACTAATTTTAGATCAGATAAAGTTTGATTTTCATAGAATCCACTATATTTCTTATTTTAGTAGGATTTTGCTCAATTCCCAAACCGTGTTAGAGCAAACCCGTGTTATAGAAGTACCGTGTTATGCGGGGGTATGTATGTGTGTATGTATGTATGTGCGAATACAATTTTTTGTTAACGTTTCCGGGAGCAACACTCAACCAAATTGAATTCTTCAAAAAACATTCGATTCCTATTCATAAGGAGGCATGCTGAATAGTTTTTGGCAAAAGTTGATCCTGCCGTTTCGGAAATACGGAGCAAAGAGTGCAGAAAAGGCAATAAAGTTTGTGAGAGAATAGAGCATGCGTTTTGAATAATTCAAAAAATATTCTACTTGTATTGACATAATAAAAAATTAATTATATTTTTGCAAAGACAGGTGTCCAGCGGTTTCTGAGATCCAGAAAAAGTTAAAAAAAAAAATACCATTGAGTGCCAATAATGTTTTGGACAGTCTGTATCAACCGTGGATGGATATCAAAAACATTCAAAATTTAGATAGTTTAGATTTCACTTCATTGAGAGAAGTCTTTTGGTTTATATTATAAGCCTTCATTTTTTATGGTTGTAGTGGCATTCAATTTTTGTCTTTAACGTATATAATTCCTAAATCGTTGTGGAGAACATGATTAGTTACATACCACAGTGCATTAACTATAGATCTCAGTTTCTAGTTTCGGTTTATTTGTAACATTACCATGCGGGATTTGCTCGTGCATCCCCATAATTCCATTTCGTAAGTCCAAATGGGTTTAATTGTACAGCAGTACTTTGTTTTGCAATGAGAGCTTCAAATTACTGCATATGAGACATTTTATCATATACAACAGAGCAAAAATGATACATATGAATTGCGTGTTGAGCACGTGGACATTTATACAAATTAAGATCAGTTGTGCAATGGCTCAGAAAACATGCAATGTTTTCATGAAAAGCAAGTCAATCGTGCTGTAAATACAGAGGAAAAAATATAATATCTATTTTGTACCCCAAAACACTTATTGTACACGTGTTACATATTATTTTTATTTAGGTACAGGCTTAACAATTTTCACTAAATGATGAGTTCAGTAAAAATACGAAATGTTCCAAAATTCTAAAATTTATGACGGCTAAAATAGTTTAATTTAATTTGGTGTTTCGCAGCAGTATATCATCAATTAAAAAAAAATTCACATAAAACTCATATTGAACTAATAATTATTTTTTACCTTTTTTTTACTTAATACTAACATTTTTTTTATATTTTAAGCTTCTCTATATTAATAAAATACATAGCAAACTTAGTTCCGTTTTTACAATCACCGAATGTTCAAACTCGCCTAATAAATCAAATAATATTAATAATATTATTATTTAAATTTGGTATTTCCAATTTATTCTAGGCCACCATGCCATATACCACTAGTTTTCAATTTATTTTCAGTATTTGAGTCTGCAACTTTCTTTGCGGATAATGGTGATACTTTTTTTTAATGTTCTGCTAATTTTATGAATAATATACATTGTTCTCTTGGTACACATATTGAAGTGATAATAGCATTTTTACGATCAATTTAATATGCGGCCAGCGTGGAAGCACCCAGGCTTGAGTGCAGTGTTGGAATCGGTGATTTTATATTGGTTTTGTAATGAACATTTACTATTATTGGTTTTATTACGCAATAAATATAAGAAAATGTGTAATAAAAATAAAAACATTGATATATATATATATATATATATATATATATATATACAAGCATATTTTTCTTAGCCAGAGAGGAGATATCCCTCTTTTATGGGTATGTTTTTCTCTGATTACTTACTTTTGGCAATAAAATAAAAAAATCTGCCTAGCTGCTCAATTGCTAACAAACAAGTAAGTCTCTGAATCATGTCAATTGTTATGCTCAGTGAGATTGTAACAATTCACCTGATTCAGAGACCACACCCTGTTATCATATGTTTACCATATATCAAAGAACTGTATTTTCCTTTGAAAAAAAACTATTTTATAAATCAGGACTCCGTCTTGTAAACAACTTCAGCACAACGACTAGCATTATTTTCACCAAAGCCAAACGACTTAGAAACTAGTCTATTAAATTAACTGCCTGGATTGCAATCTAATTAACATAGTAAAAACGAGCCAGAATTTAATGAAGCGATTGCAACAACACACAAATAATTTAAAAAATCCTAAACAACTTGAAACTATGATCACAGACCACATTAATACATTAAAACACAATATAGACTTACTTTTTTTATTCCGACTGCACTACATTTCGAAGAAAATTTATACAAAAGAAGCGTATCAACAAAGAATCGTTACTTACTTTACAATTTATAGAATAAATTGATAGAACAATAAATAAAAGTATTTCCGAATTTCTTACAAAACAATAAAAAAAGTGCAAAGAATTTACAATTAGTTCTACAAATGTTAGAAACTTGGTAAAAATATTTTTTTAAAATCCTTTCTCCATTATGTCTTCAGGTAGTTTACAGATAACATATATTGCTAAGGTGACCATACACCATAAGGTGTTCAATGCTGGGACAGTCCCGATTTTCCGCCTTGCGTCCCGGTTTTTTCTAAAAGCAATATTTGTCCCGGTTTTAGGTGTTTTGTCCCGGATTGTCCCGGATTTTTAAAATTAGTTTGATTGCCGATATTTTTTAAGTATATTTCAACTAGAAAATTTGAACCGAAAAAGATGTGCATATAAGTCCCCCCTCCGCTCTCACACACATTCTAGTCCGTCCCGGATTTCATGCAAAAAATATGGTCACTTAATATTGCACACTTACTATTTTGTGATATTTTATTGTTAGTATAATTGTTAAATACCTATTTATATTACATAGTATAGTGCATTACCATATCCTGATACCATGGATTATCAAAGTTTCTGATTTCGAGCTGTGCTAATTGATTGAATCGATCTATGATATTAGTTCTCGAATTTTTTGAGTTGCTTTGATTTTCAAGATATGCAGTACCCAAAAGTGGTTTTGAGTTTGAATAAATAAAGCTTTTGGACGTATTGTGTTATTAATTAAATTAAATTATAGAATTTCATCTGCTAAACATATATTGTATCTTATATTGTTTTAATTTCTGAAACATCTCAGCTGGTTTTTGTCAATAATATTGTAGATATTATATTTTTATTATTCATAATCATGAATATGATTATTATATACTAATATTGTCTAGGCTCGCTTAATCTAAATTTAAATTTCAAGTGAATCGATATTTCTGGCAGATGGCAGTTCTTATGTATCAAAATGTTTTCATTGTCAAACAATGATATTACGTTTTTTGCAATTTTTTCCATTTATTTCTACAATATTACTTTATTTCTATAATCACATACATCCCAAAAAAATCCCTTAACAAACTTCAGAAAGATTTATCAAAATCCGAATAATCGTTTAGGAGGAGTATATTTACATATATCATTGCAAAAGAATTTTATATATAAGATATATATATATATATATATATATATATATATGTGTGTGTGTGTGTGTGTGCAATGTAACACAATAAAATGTCCATTTGAATAACCTCAATGACGTTTGCTTTGACTATATTGTGGTTGAGCTCCTCGACCGAACTGCATGGTTAATAATGCTCTTAAAAAACTGAATTTCGTCTAATTGTCTTCTCTGCACGACATAATTTTTTTCTGCAAATATCCGCATTAATCTACCTGCGTGCAAATCTCTTTAATGTCATGCACCAAATCGTTAAATAATTCGTCATTGCATGTGAAAGACGCTCGCGCGTTGCTTGCAAAGTCTTTTACGAGAAACGAGAAGTTATGTTATATGAGAGCATAGTCGTTAAGAAGCCTTTTCAGTGCATCCAGCAAGATCTAG